AGGGAAGTCGTGGCCTAATGGTTAGAGAGTCGGACTCGTAACCCATAGGTTGCGGGTTCGAGTCTCGTACCGGCAGGGATTGTAGGTGGGTGGAGTGAATGTACAGCGCTCTCTTCCACCTTCAATACCACGACTGAGGTGACCTTGAGCAAGGCACCGAACCCCCAACTGCTCCCTGGGCGCCGCAGCAAAAAAATGGTTGCCCACTGCTCCGTGTGTGTGTGTTCACTGCTGTGTGTGTGTGTGCACTTTGGATGGGATAAATGCAGAGCACTAATTCTGAGTATGGGTCACCATACTTGGCCACATGTCACGTCACTTTCACTTTTTCACTTTGTTTTTACCTAATCTTGGATCAATTATATAAATTTGTAGATATTTTTATTGCCACATTTGTTTACTAAAAACAAAGAATAGTAGTTAATAGTCTCTTATTGGCCTTTTTAGCCAAGCCCCCATAAAACAAGCAAAATAAGGCCTTTGCACGAATCTTTGCAATGTTCTGACCTCAGAACACTTTTACCATGGTGCATAATTTGTAAACTAATACATTTAGAAATATGCACCACATAACAAGGTCCATATGAATGGCTTTGCTGACGTAGTAAACTTGCTCAGTAGCTCACCCGGTGCAGCACTGCAGTCCCTTGAGTCATGATAAAAGAGCTCAAAGGTTTGAAGAAGCAAGCTAAAATAGCATGGTTGCTACAGAAAAAATGTTTTTCCCTCACTTTGTTTTTTAACTATCAGTTATGCTTATGGTAGTGTTTAGTGTGGGTAGTATGTTATTTTCAATTGCAAGAACATTAACTTTTTAGCAACACTCACTTGACATTTGCATTTCCGAACTGCCGTGACACATACAGCAACCAAATAATAAAACTTTGCCGGACTGACTTTTATATGTTTAGGATAAAACTGAATGTGCTTTTACTGCCAATCACTGGACATTTGACTTTGAATGTGTTGCAAAACTTGCAAAAAGCATCATAATATTTCGCAAAAAAGTTGCATGTTTTTTTTCCAATGAGCCTGGCTTGGATTTTTATTTGTGGGTGAACTGTTCTTTTTATACTAACATAACAATAGTTGTCCTGTCTTTGTTCTTTGTGTGAGGCATTAAAAAAAAACTTTTATCTCTATTGAAGGTGAGTGTGTCCTTAGCACTAACTTTGCCTTCCATAACCATGAGGAAGAAGAATACACAGGAAACCTGCCACTCTTCATCACTACTGCCATCCTGCTTGTTTTCGCCATAATTGCTGTAATCATCCTCATTAAGCGTTCTCTTTCCAAACGACCCATGCCTGAGCCTGCTGTCCCAGGCGGGTATGAAAAACTGGGCCATGGTGGCGGCAGAGACAGCTTCTACAGAGGCACATCATCATCCACCTCCACCTACGGTGGTCAAGCAAGCTCTAGTTCTGGACGGTTCCATGAGTCACAGCTGGTGGACCTCAGTGATCAGAAGGGGAGACGGGATGATGACGATGAAGAGGATGAAGATGAAGATATTGTGTACATGGGACAGGACGGGACTGTGTATCGCAAATTCAGATACGGGCAGCTGGGTGACGAGCAGGAGGATGAGTTAGAATATGACGATGAGAGCTACAACTACCGATAACATCTTCAGCTGTTTAAATGAAAATGTATTCTGCAGGGTTACTGAAATTTGTCACTTAGAATGAAAAAAAAAAAAAAAAAGAATAAAAAAAAAAAGAATTAAAAAAAAAAAGTCTGGAGAGTTCAGCAAAGTTCTGAACTGAAATGTGACTAATGTATTGTGTATGATGATATAGTGACTATGACAAATTGTAGTTTTAAGATTTTATTCAGTAATTCTCTCAGCTGCTTGTCTTTTTTGATCTCTTTCGTCTTTCAGCTTTTATGAATACTTTTTTGTTTTGTTTCACCTGTGTTTTTTGGACATGTATGCATTGTCAACAGTCCCTGTGCAGTACTTTTACATACATGATAATAGCAGAAGAACAAATGAGCCCAGAGGTACAAATTGAGTAAAAATTTCCCATTTAGGACTTAGGCCATGGTCATTTTTTGTTGTGAAAGTGTGTAAGCTGTAAATTGTAATAAAAGTATATCAATGTTATGTGTTAATTTACAATTTCAGTATCAATTGTTGATATTTCACTGATCCAAATCCAGATTTTACTTTTCCCCCATGTTTGATTATATATATATATATATATATAATTATTATTATTATTATTAAACAATAATTTAGATTGAGGCAAACTCCAGTTAATCATTATTTCATGTGTTTGAGCAGGGAACTTGCACAAAGTCTTAAAGTGTATATATATATATATATATATATATATATAGTATATATATATATACTGTATATACCATTTTTTTTATAATACCAAACCAAACTATTAAACTGGTATTGAACCAAATTTTATTATGCTTTGCATTGTTTACTAATCAAATAATAAAAGAATATCAGAGGAAATACTTATAATTGAATGTGATTAAACACCTTGCCTGTAAGAAAAAAGAAGAAAAAATCCATTGTTTTATCCATATGGAAGACAGTGTCAGGACATACTGTACAGTTTTGGAGTTTTGTCATTTAAAATGAAATTAAATTAGTACATTTATTTATGATATCAAATATATTTAAATATCAATAAAAATAAATGTTTTATTGTGATTTTATAAGTGATTTTAGAAAGAAATGTCATAAGTGTCAGAATATTACATAAAATAGCACCAGTAACACAACTGTTCAGATATAATTTCAATTTATTGATTTACTCTGCAATATGACATACATCTCAATCTCAATATGCTTTGCTGGAGAAGGCCTCTGGATCAAAGTTCATCTATTTATATCAATATAATAGAATTTTATATGAATTCAATATCATTTCAGTCTAAAAGGATCAGATATCAGCAACCAGGGACACATGCAGTGATACAATCACACATAATGTCTCTCATATCTTCACACAGACTTGCACACTTAATTTGAATATTGTGCTTTACAGCAATCTTTTTAAGTCCCTTTATTTTAGTTCCCAAACCTGTTAGCAGGAAGAACTTGGGAGACCTAACAGCATGTAGACACATAAACAGACAATCACAGACACACATACAAACCTATACACATACACACCCTCACACACTGACACAAGAGGAGTTTGAAGACAGAGCAGTCACAATGAACATGAAACCCTCTGAAACAGCATGCTCTTAGGATTTTACAGATATTTGATTGTGGCAACTATTTTTAACTTTATACATGGTAAACACTCAAAAAGACATCAAAGTTCTGAAACACCTTGGACTGATTTTAGTGCTGTGAGCACAAGAACAACTAATGCATCACTATGGCTTATGAGTCTTAAAGGTGAAGTGTGTCGTGCCAGCGCCCCTAGTGGCTCCAAAGAGAATTACCAAAATAACGATTTACATTTCTGAAAAATGTGCAGTGCTTTCCTATCCAAACCTCACAGCCACAATGCCGCAAGGTGGGGGTCAAAAGTAATATAGTGCAACTGTTGGGTTTTAGAATAAAAATCACATTAATTTTCTCCATTGAAGAATTGATTTTAATAACTTTTAATACATTTATAAACCATTAAAGACAGACCTGCTTTGAGCTACAAGGTTGTTGATCAATGCAGTAAATGCTTTTGTTAAAGGGATAGTTCATAGCCACCTATCTCTCAAATAGACCATTGACACTCCTAATTGAGATTGTAGATAGAGTGTCAATGGTCTATTTGAGAGATAGGTGGCGGTAATGCACTTATAAGTCTGCGATCCGCCATAATGTATCGTCACGAGCCGCAGGGTTTAATTTGGTTTTGTTGGTTTTTGTTGAGTTCAAAATCTTTGTTTGTGTTCTACTGAAGAAACAAAGTCACCTACATCTTGGATGCCCAGGGGGTAAGCAGATAAACATCAAATTTTCATTTTTGGGTGAACTATCCCTTTAAAGCCATAATCCTTCATTATTTTGACTTTTGAATTTTTTTAATCATGTTTAACAGTGGAATTCCTGATGAAAATCTACATTACCTATGATTTTGCAAGCAAATGCAAGCCAACCTACTCCCGTGTGTGTGTGTGTGTACTGTACAACTTTTTTGCTTCAAATCAAAATTAACCTTGTTGGTTTGGTTCATGGCTTATACATCTTTAACAACGTTTTTTTTTTTTAATCCCTATAGGAAAAACGAATGGGTGAATTACTTCCGTAACCAAGGCTGCTGAAAAATTAAGTAGGCACTGTTGAACTCTATATTGGTTTATATTAGCAAGCACTGGGTTTCACAGATGTTCTAAACTGCCTGTTGTGGCAATATCCACTACTGTTAAAACGGGATTGGCTGAGCCAGACATGTTTGACTGTTCAAATTATGAAACAACATTTTGAAAGAGCCACAAAAGTCTTTATGTTATATTGTTCAGGAAGTCAACCTGGACTTAAAGTAATAGAGAAAGCATTTTAGCATAACACACTTGACGTTTAAGAACTATAAATGATTTCTCCCTGCTGATTGTGAACTGATACATATAAAGTGAAATGAGGCATTGTTTAAATTTAAACCTGACTCATATTGTTTCTGACAATGGCAATAATTAACTAGTGCTCTATTTTCTGTGTCTCCAAGTCATCAATTTAGCATGAGAGGGTAGGGAGTTAGTATTAGTGCTAACAGGGTGCTATATGCATTGTCTTTGTGTTGAGACTAACCTTGCATGCACTAATATTAATACAGAGCAGCTGAAGTGACAGGATTTTGCCCTTTGTACATGCTCCAATTAGAAAAAATACCTGACTGTGAAAATTATGAGCCTAAAGGGGAAAAGCACATGATATTATTGCTAAAATGCCTCTCATGCATAATTCAAGTAACAAGAGAAACTTTTACAAGACAATAAGAGACACAGAATGATTCAAGCATTGCACTGGTTTAAGCTACTGTTCTGTGAGAAGAATTATTACATTTGAGGTGATTTGTGTTAAAGGGTTAGTTCACCCAAAAATGGAAATTCTGTCATTAATTACTTACTTTCATGTCGTTTCAAACCCGTAAGACCTTCGTTCATCTTTGGAACACAAGTTAAGATATTTTTGATGGAATCTGAGAGCTGTCTGACCCTGCATAGACAGCAATACAACTGAAATGTTCCCAAGTCCAGAAACGTAGCAAGGAGATCGGTAAAATAATCCATGTGACATCAGGGGTTCAACTGTAATTATACGAAGCTACGAGAATACTTTTTGTGCGCAAAAGAAAAAAAAATAAAGCATCACCCTGGTGCCATTTTGGAGAATATCCGCTGGACGTAAACAACGTATGCTGTTCTGTGTCAGCTGAGTCACACGGATCTGTTTCCTACGATGTTTGCGCTTTGATTTGAATGAAAACAGCATATCCGTGTGACGCAGCGGAGGAGACAAATTGTTGAATAAAGTCTGTATTTTTTTTTCTTTTGCGCACAAAAAGTATTCTCGTAGCTTCGTATAATTACGGTTGAACCCCTGATGTCACATGGATTATTTTACCGATCTCCTTGCTACGTTTCTGGACTTGGGAACATTTCAGTTGTGTTGCTGTCTATGCAGGGTCAGACAGCTCTCAGATTCCATCAAAAATATCTTAACTTGTGTTCCGAAGATAAACGAAGGTCTTACGAGTTTGAAACGACACGAGGGTGAGTAATTAATGACAGAATTTTCATTTTTGGGTGAACTAACCCTTTAAAGAACATGTGGTGCTGCACTATTCATCCCAGCACTGTGAGATACCAAAGCATAAAAAATACCCTTTTCTCTTATTTTATGCAATTATTGCACCCACATCTGTGTGCAATCATTACAATTTGAAATACTCAAAACCTTTAAAGACATACTGATCTTTCACCCACAGCCAACGGCTCTTATGAACTGCTCGCATTGGGTTGAGCTCTGAAACAAATGTTTTAAAAAGTTAATTATTATTAACAATTATGTCATTATTTCGTTTTTTTTTTTTTTTTTTAATCTGAAAATTAATTGAATATACTTCAAAGTCTACATGAAACAGGTTTCACAACACATAGTATTTCCAAGTGAAACAGGATATCCTATTTCACTTGGAGAACGACATGAGGGTGAGTAATTAATGACAGAACATTTTTGGGTGAACTATCCCTTTAATATATTTATTAAAAAAAAACAATTTAGGGCCAGACTTTATTTTATTCATTAAGAATTTACTGGATTGTGGAAAAATTGTCATTCCATAGCAGAACGGCGCAAGAACTGACTGAGTTTGCTGTGGATTATAGAGGCTCAAGTTCACCATTGAGAGCATAATTTTTGCATTATTGTAAACAATTATTTTTCATTGTCAACATTGTTTCTTGATGATGTCAGCAGAAACATATTGTTTTTTAATTTTTTAATGGAAATTATTATTTTTTTTTTTTAAATAACATACACTGCTGAATCGTGTAGCATGAGGAACATGTAAAAATGGTTTGTTGTGATTTCATGTTGACTTTAAAAACCAATTATTATGCTGAAATGGCTATTCACTACATGATTAAGAAATCTTACATCGATTCTTGTGGAATCTCACTTCCTTGGAGAAAGCTGTTGATTCTTCATGAAGAAATGAAAAAGATACACAAGTTCATATAGCCAGAGCACTGTATTACAGTATGACATTAAGAAAAAGAGTCAAAGGTCTCAAACATCTTCTACAATACTCACTTAGAGCTCTCTGCCGCTTCCCGTAACTCCTCGTCCAGTCTAGAGAGGCAAAGATGAACTCAGTATTCATTATATTTTAGCTCAAAAACATTCTTTAAATTTAATAAAAAATGTAGAATATGTAAAACAATAAAATTCAATCATTATATTTACTTATACTTCACTTAAATATTTTAGATTATAGTGGTTTAGTAGACAAAAAAGGTTGAGAACTCTTGGTAAAGCATATAAATCATAAACATTGCACTTCACCCCAGCGTTTTAATGTCTGTTCCCACAGAAACGTGTCTTCACAGGTTTTAAATGATTGAGTCACAACTCCAGTACAGATTTTCATAAACGCCTCTTCATCAGTTACAGCCCTCAGCGATCGTTTCATTCTCACAATCCATGTGAGCAGCTGATCAGTGCCTTGATGCTTCCTCCGTTTACTCTTGTATTGCACAGAGCAGTGCCCAAAATAGATTGCCATACATTTATATGTCAAACATGTGGCTCACCTGATGATGCACTCAGGTATGTGGACGTACTCCATTGGGATGAGCTCCTTCAGTTCTGCTAAGCTGTTCACATACTTGATCTTACTGCTGAACTTTGAGCTGGAAAACATTTATGAATCAGTTTTATTTAGTTGGTTTTTGTTTCCAAAACCAATATTGTGTACAGTTACAGTCAAAAGTGTGCACACATCTACTTATATTATTATTATTTTTATTATTATAGAATGAGGTAATAATTTACACTATCATTCAATAATTTTTTTTTTTTAAAGAAGTCACTTTTGCTTACTAAGGCTGCATTTATTTGATCAAATATACAGTAGAAACAGTAATACTGTGAAACAATATAACAATTACTATTACTATTTTCTATAATATATCAAAAATAACTACACACATACATACATACACACACACACACACACACACACACACACATATATAAAGTCTTAAGTGTCAATTTTTCGAAATTGAGATTTATACATCATGAAAAGCTGAATAAATAAGCTTCCCATTGATGTATGGTTTGTTAGGATAGGACAATATATGGCCGAGATACAATTATTTGAAAATCTGGAATCTGAGGGTGCAAAAAAATCTAAATATTGAGAAAATCGCCTTTAAAGTTGTCCAAATGAAGTCCTTAGCAATGCATATTACTAATCAAAAATGAAGTTTTGATATATTTAAGGTAGGAAATTTACAAAATATCTTCATGGAACATGATCATTACTTAATATTCTAATGATTTTTGGCATAAAAGAAAAATCATTTTGACCCATACAATGTATTTTTGGCTATTGCTACAAATATACCCGTGCGACTTAAGACTGGTTTTGTGGTTCAGGGTCACATATATGTGTGTATATATTTTTATTATGTACCTGATAAACGGTTTCGTGATGGCTAGAATTGTCCTAATAAACCATGATGGGTGAACAATGATGAAAGATTTTAAGTTCTTTCTGAGCCTGAAAAAGTGTAAACAACAACATTAGTCTTCATTTTTTAAATATACTGTATATATTGTGTATTGCACAGACAATATATTTAGCAGGTAAATAACATACTGTATACCTCCTATCAATCATCTGATAGCATCTCTTGAGCCAGTTTAGGCCAGGCATCCTCCGATGTGGAGTGGCTCCATTCAGGTACACAATCATGTAGTCCTCTGCTACCATGAGCTCTAGTGTACTGATAACATACCTGAGGAGTAATTCACATTCATTTAGTGATTTATTCTCTATACAGATGATATTATTCTATTTGATGTCAGGATTAACAAGCCTCATGTAATAATTTGACATCAAGTCAACTGACTGCCCCAAAAAATCATGTAATATCTGGCTGAACTCACAAGAACAGGTTCTCCATGATCTCGTGATAGTCCTCTCTGTCACTGTCAGGGAGGAAGCATGCAGCAAACACAATGATAGCATTTGCACCATTGCCATAGTAGCCTGTGGGTGAAGAAAATAACAGTTTTGAAGGTTCCCTGCAAACAGTCGCAGCAGTTTCATCATATTCATTGCTTAACACAATTTAAAGGCAGAATCCTGGTTACTGTTGTGAAAACGAAGTGCACTTAACTTAAATGTGCACTTTTGGTGTCCTTTAAATCTTAATGGTATATTTTTTTTAAACTGTACATGTAGTTAAGATAATATTAATGAAATAAAAGTACTTAAAGAGTACTTTAATGTTCTTAAAGAGAGTACACTTTCATGACTCTGTTTCTTAACACTTATTTTGATGTGTCTACTATATCAGCACACAAGTTGAGTACTTGATTATGACTGTAAGTGTGTCATGTTTAAAGTTAATATATTTAAATGTACTAAATTGCAACTTCATCATTACAAATGTGTAATTACAAATAGTTTTAAATACACGACATACATGTTTTAATAGATATTCATTTACAAAATGCTTTTATCTAAAGCGACTCACAAATGAGGAATACAAGCAATTTATCAAGCGGACAATAACACAAGAAGTGTTAGCAATACAAAGTTTCATATAAAGATGTGCTTAAGTCCTACTTAAGAAGGTCAAAAAATCACTCTTAAGGTCAACTAATTGCATTTCACATATATTGAAACTATAATACATTTTCATTTCATTATAAATAACATCCAATTAAGTGAATGAAAACATTACATTCAGTTCGCACTTAAGTGTATTCTTTCATATGGTATATTGTTATTGTAAGTATGTTGTTTTTTCATAATAAGTACTCTTTTTTTCTTTTTTTAAAGTATGCTGAAGTGCTAAAACCACATACAATAATGCACTTACAATGAAAACATATCGGGCAAGTGTACAGGACCACAAATAGATGCAAATGCTGAAGGTATAACCACTTAACCATAACCTTTAAACATTACTTTTAAACTTTTAAACAACACTGATTTACTGATTTTTTCTGTGCTATTAATCCTCAAATTGATGATTTAGGCCATGGGGTGTCCAGTCCTGCTCTTAGAGGGCCACTGACTGTCCTGCAAAGTTTAGCTTCAACCCCAATTAAACACACGTGAACAGCTAATCAAGGTCTTACTAGGCATACTAGAAACCTCCAAGCAGGTGTGCTGAGGCAAGTTGAAGCTAAACTCTGCAGGACAGTGGCCCGAGTTTGGACACCACTGATTTAAGCATCACCGCTCAAATATCAAACAGTTTATACATGCAAGTCCTTCAACAAAAATAAAAGCTTCACATATTTACTTTTAAATACTCCATTGTTGTTGCCCATAGACTTACATTGTAAGGACATACAGTACACACATTTGTCATTTGTCTTTGCACACTAAGAAAAGAATCTCTATGCTAATCACTAGTCTCTTTAGTTTATTTAACCCAAAATATTATTTTACATTGTCTTTGAAATATTACTTTACCTCCGTGGGATATGACTTTTTGGTAAGGTTCAATACTCTTCATGTTGATGCGGTGCTCTTGCTCTCCAATGATGACGGTTCTCCAAAGTTTGGAATCCTGCCGCTCCTCCTGAGCACTGTATGTGGGAATGGGCTCAACTGCTTCTTTTGCAGAATCTCTCTGGGATGCTTGAGGTTCTGAACAATATTGTGTGTCAAGATATTGGTAATCTCTTTTTAATATTAAACAATTATTTACAAGTTTTTATGTCCTACCTTCCCAGTCAATCTCATGGTCAGTATAGTCCGCTTCATCAGGGGTGTCCAGATCATCCACATTGATATCGAGGTCATCTGGTGTGTCGAACAGGTCATCCTCACTTTGGTCCAATGATAGACTTATAGGAGGAGCCGACAGCTTCTTCCTCTGAGATGCCACGCCCCCTTGGCCCTGCAGGGGCAGGGAAGTGGGTGGAGCTAGTGGAAATCAACAGACGATCAATAAACATTTATCAAATGATCCATCTGTTCATCATATTATTTCAGACTGGTTCATTTGAATATTGCTCCTATAGACTGCCAAGGATTCAGGAATGTGTCCTGCTTGAGTAAATCATTAAGCCTAACAAGACTGTGTAGAAGAAGAGAATGATATTTTAGACCTCTGATTCTGAATTTGCAGCAGTGTTTGTAAAGGGCATCAGTCTTCTTTTGATATCCTGAGGCATATTCTAGAAGTGTCAGTGTTTGTCAGTCTCACCTGGTCTACCCTCTGCCCCCTCAAAACTCATCTTGCGTTCATGAGTCTGGTCCATTCCCACATTGCCAGAAGGGGAACTATGAGATACACACGCATAACCACTAGATGTTATTATCACTGCACTCAAATCTTTCTGTCAGACATAACAGGGAACATAATAATAATAATAATAAATTATATCACATAGACATAGACTTCTAGTCAAATGTGTGCTTTACAAAAAAATAAAAATTCAAAATAAATCAGTAACCATTTAGTATAATAATAAATTATGGAGCACTTTCACATATACTTCCAGTTAAATGTGCTTCACAATACATTTTTTAGAAAAAACAGTAGCAACAGCAATAATAATAATAATAGTAATAATAAGTACTTTCAAATTAAATGTGCTTTACAAACAATACATTTAAAAAAAATAACAACAACAGCAATAAAAATAATAATAATAAATAATTATGGAGTACTTTCAAATTAAATGTGTTTTACAAACAATAAACATTTTTAAAATAACAACAACAGCAATAATAATAATATATTTGGAGTACTTTCACCTATATACTTCCAGTCAAATGTCCTTTACAAAAACAAAACAAAAAATGAATCAGCAATAATAATAATAAACTATCCAGCTGTACTTTACAGGTTTTACAGATTTAACACACGCTTGCTAAAAGTTGTGCTACAACACAGGGACTCACAGACAACAAGCTGTTTTAAATGAGTTTCAAGTAGTAGATGCGCTTAATACCGTGAATCCGGAAATTTTGCAGTTCTTCAGTATGTTGTAATATCAGTCTTGCATTGCTGCCTCTGCAATATGCAACAAACTGACTGAACAGAAAATGTAGTCTGCATAATCTTATTTGCGCTAACAATCTATCTATACCATTCCTTTACCATCCCTGTTTGAAATTTAGAAGCAGTGTGAAATCATGTGTGAATTTACATATACACAGAGCCACGAGAGAAGGGAAGCCTGTCTCGCAGGAGTGTCTACAATAAGCTGCCAGATGGTTGCTAGTTCTCAAACAGAGAATGTGTGTTGAGAGAGAGGAAGAGAGTGGGTGAGGGTGAAAGTGGATAGGTCTGTTGTTCTCTTCCTCCATCAAGACGTTGGATTAATCCATCCATCCATCCATCCATCCTCCACAGCAGGAAACAGGAAAAGTGGGCGGGCATTATGTCATCATCATCATCAACCCCTTCTTTTCTGCTCTCTCTCCCCTCTTCTTTGTGAATCACTCTTCCGCCTCAGTGTCCACACACATTCGCATTTACAAACATGCAATCGCACACACATAGGCAAATAAATGAGCTGTACATGCAGAGCCATGAATTTGAATAATGACCAAAGTAGGTCAGCTGCATGTGCATAAAGGCTGAAACCTTATTAAACGTGCTTGCTTGTATTCAACATGACAAACACTCATTTATGATTCATATGCAAACAAAAGCAGCTGCCCATGTCTTGCATCATAAAGGATGCTGATGCTAAACCTCTTCCGCTACCAAATACTAAGATGCATCACAAACAACAATCCCTCCCTTTTCCCGTCCCATCTCAATGCTCAGGGTTTCAGATAAAAACATGCTTCCTTCATCCCCTGAAAAAATTACCCTTAGTGCACTCACCACCACGGCTGAGGCACAGTTCTTTCTCCTGCCCTGGGTTTCAGATCATGGATGTGTGCCTGTATGTATCTCTCAGCGTCAGGGATGCTCGGCTCACCCACTGCCAAGAGCCTTCACCATTTTGTGGTCATGTGACTCTGTTAAGCTCCAAATAAGGGCGTGAGGCTGTTCTCTCCGCCCAGAGCTTGAGATACAAACTTGTGAGACTCAGCAGCAGCACTGCTGTGAGGATAGAAGCTGATGGGTCTGACTGCACAGGTGAACTGTGAGTGAGTCTGACTGTGCAGATGAGTAAAGAGACATGAATGAGTCTGTCTGTGAGAGCCAGAGATTTTCCCAGAGCCCATTCATGCTCATTAAATAAGCTGAAGCCTTTGAAACTGAATATCCCTTTTGAAAAATAAGGACTCTTTAGCATACTTTTAAAAAGAGGACTTATTATCGAAATAATATAGCCTACTTTAAAAGAGTGTACTTAGGTGCATACTACATGTAATGTTTTTGGACACTTAATTGCATGTAAATTGCCGTTACGTTAAATTTATATTAAATGCAAATAGCTGTTAAATGTAAAAATGTTAAAGTGTACCGCTGAATGTATACTGACAAGCATTTATGGTAAAGTAAAATATATTTTAATGTAATTTCTGTTGAAACATGCATGTTGTATTGTATTTAATTGCAGTAGTTTCACAATTTGAGTTGAATTACTGAAATAAATTAACTTATCCACGACATTCTAATTTATTGAGATGCACCTGTATTAATTTTAAATGTAATATTGAACACACACTACAGTTAAAATAAACACTTTACATATGCTCAACACTTACAAATTTGTGTTCTTTAAAGCACGGAAAGAGATTATTAAAGCATAAGTACAGATACAGTAAGTGTCTTTTTATTCCCTTAATATGATATTATCTGCAAGTACAGTTTTTAAAATACTTTTCAGGTTTGAAGTCCATTACAAGTGCACATTCAATACGATTAGGCACACTTCTTTTTCACAAAGGGTAGCTGACAAATATTGTCTTTTTTTTGTTTGTGTGTGTGTGTCATGATCTTGCCCGTGGTCCCCTGTCTTGTGTTTGGACTTTCGAGTTGCTTCCTGTCTAGAGTGCCATTTGTAGTCAACTTGTATTCCTATTGTTTCATTGGTTGTCTTGATTCCTTTCCAAGGTGTGTCTTGTTATCCTGTTTGCATCTCTGTGTATAAATAGCCCAGTGTTTCATGAAGTCTTTGTCAGTTGTTTAATGTCTGTGATGGTTGCTCCCTGCCCTTGTCGAAGTTCCTTGTTTTACCCATGTTGGGTTACTTGTTGGTTCCTTCATTTTTATTAAATTCCTGCACGTAGATCCTCACCTCTGTTTGCCTCATCTCGTCTCTGCAATGTTACAGTGTGTGTCTCATAAACCCTGCCATGTCAGTTTCATATTTCACCCCAAAGTTTAAAAAGAAATGTATAAATAAATTGAAGCATAAGGATCACTAAGATGCATTATTACATTATTTTCGTGACAATTTTCAAATTTTCATTGCATCCATTGATCCATTATGTCTAGACAGACTAAATCAAACAGTAATTAGAATGACGTAGTATGTTAAGGTTAATAAGAAATATAAGGGAAAGTGTGTATTATGGTGCTTTCCTTTCCATGTTTTCCACTATTGTTAAAGGGGTCATATGATGTTGCTAAAAAGAACATTGTGTTTAGGCGGTTTAAGGTTCAACAAACACATTATTTTTCACATACTGTACATTATTGTTTCTCCTCTATGCCCGCCTTTCTGAAACGCATCGATTTTTACAAAGCTCATCATTCTGAAAAGCGAGGTGTGCTCTGATTGGCCA